ATACGTATTTGATTTAAAAAGGGTTAAAATAAATTAAAACAAGAACATCTTTTATCGAAATTTCACGGTTAGAAAATGACACATCATGTTAATGTATTCTCTATTGACACGTCACATTTACGTGACTTTCTTAAGAAAAGAAATTAAAAAATAAAAGATATTTCAAAAGTAGTTTCCTTGGAATATAATTAGGGAAGATGTTACTGTCTCGTTACGGAACCAGTCGTCGGAGTTTGTAACCGTTAGATCAACTATCCTTGATAATAACATGATAATCTAATGGTTACAAACCCCGACGAAGTGGTTCAGTAACAAAACCGTAGCATTTACTATTAATTAGCCAATACTAGTTCCATAGATCATAAAATTTATAAATATTAGGACAAATGAAATTTTGACATGTTATTTGAGAGTGGAGACACACATGAAATTGAAGTGTCTTTTTCATAAAAGTCAACTCACATGAAAGCCGGTGAGTGATTGAATTTAGCAGGCACAGAATAAAGTGTTTGGTGGCTAGTGACCATAACCACAACTGCCACCACTGCCGAAGCAAACACCAAAAATCTTAAAACCAAATCACCCAAACTAAAGTAGTAATCAATACGAGTTTTTGCCGCCACCACCGTTTCTTTCTTCTCCTCCGCCACCTTTGACGGCTCGCTAAATGAGGCCATGATATATTTTCCTTTTTATTTGCTCATTTTCCTTTTTTTTCCTTTCTTGTTTTCAGTAAATATATTATGATGTATTAATAGAAAGGGGTTTTGCTATTTGGTTGGTGTGTCGGTTGGAATTTCCCACACGATTGGGTGATTATTGCTTTTAATGTTTGGTGATAGCAACGTAATTATTAAATGTGACAAGTATTTGTATTTTATGCAAAGGTATAAATTATAATCCACTATCGATCTTTTTATTTTATTCTTTTTCTTTTTTATTTTTTTGGTGTTGATGAGTTCATTGTTCATATTGTGATAGGTAAATTACACTTTTGATATTCAAATTAAAAGTCATTTTCCAGTTGTTTGCCCCTTTCCAGTCTCTTTTCCTCTTTATCCTTTTTTCTGCAATTAGGGTTTTGATTTATAATGTCAGATTTTGACTCTGAACTATCTGACAGATTAAACTAATTCTCTCTTTCTGCTAATGAATATAAGATCTTTGACATCGCCCAGGATGACATTAAAGTTAGTGGCGATGAATGCCAACGAAGCCTTTTCGGCAAAATGTGGGTGACAGGCCTGCAAGTTGGATAGGTATTAAGAGAGCTATGTCTCAAATTTGGAAGCTCAGCCACCCTATGGAAGTTAAAGAGCTAAGCCCAAATTATTTCCAGTTCATCTTTCAAAACCGTGAAGATATGAAGAAAGTGTCCTTTGGAACTAATTGGAGCTTTGAAAATCAGTATTTAATCCTCCAAGAATGGAACTGAAATCAACAGCAAGCATCTAGGCTTTCAGGAGCTCAATCTGTGGGTCCAAGTCCAAAATATACCTCTCAACTGGCTAAGCACCGATGTGGGATTGAAGATAGGCAAAGCATTCAAAGGATTGAAGAATGTGGTTATAGCCACCACAGGTAACCATGGTGGTAAGATCTTGAGACTCCTTGTCACTTTGAATCTCGAAGAACCTCTGCCAAGAGTCGCCAAAGTTCGTCTGGGGGACCAACTGGTGACAGTTGGTTTCAAGTATGAAAAGCTAATTAATCTATGCCACTATTGCGGGAAAATTGGTCACCTGGACAGAGGGTGCCTAAAGAAGATGGAAGATGTTAGCAACAATTCCCTCAAAGAGGGGCAGTATAGAGACTGGCTACGTGCTCCTGATGGATTTAAATGGGCCCCTGTAAGTCTCTCTGGATCTAGATCATCTCCACCACCTGAATCTCCAAAAGCAACAGACAATGGCACATCTCAAAGGGCCTCATCCAGTCATCAAGAAGAAAATAACCAGTTAATTCCCAGTAATGGGGATATTTCTTCTCCTGCAAAATCAGTTGGTGCTACCTCCTTAGCCTCATGTGGTCCAATTACACAAGTCCAATTTCAAGAGGGGGAAAATATGAAGACTAAAGAAGCTGAATTGCAAATAGTAGAATCTTCCACAATGGAAGTTGAAGGAGGAGACACCACAATAGCCTCAAACCTACCAATGCAGCTTAATCCTTCTCATCCCACTACATCACAGACACTCAAGTCTTGGAGAAGGATGGGAACTAAGGCAGGCAGAGTCCTCAGATCCACAGAGTCTCCAGACATCATGGATCAACTGACTAGAGGAAAGAGAGGCAGACCGAGTAAGGAACCAACAGAATTGGCTGAATAAATGATATCTCCCAATCAGGTTAATCCAAAAAGGTAAAAGCAAGTTCAGAAAAGGTAGAGGTTTCCAGCCTTGAGTGGCCCCAACCTGACTAATGTTAGCTCTAGTGTGGAATTGTAGAGGGCTGGGTGGGCCCTCTACAATTTCCCAAATCCGAGAGCTAAAGAGAGCTCATCACCCCCATTTTATTTTTCTTTTAGAAACCAAAAAACCAAATGCTTTTGTTATATCTGTTTGTAAAAAGCTAGGCTTTGATAATAGAATAGCAGTTGTGGATCCCAAAGGCCTAAGTGGTGGTCTAGTTTTGATGTGGGATACTTCTGTAGTTATTAATCAAGTATTATGTAAATACTTTTTTATTGCAGTTGAATTTCAATTACTGGCCCATCCTCTCCAATGGGGAGTTATTGTTTATCATAGCCCTTGCAGACTAATCAGGGGAGCTCAAAGGGATGAAATGGTAGCTGACAAATCTCAGTGTGGCCCCCTATGGTTCTCAATAGGGGATTGGAATGATATTCTCATAAACTCTGAGAAAATGGGGGGAGTTACCAGGCCAAGCAGCATTTTCAATGGTTTCGACACTTTTATCTCTGAAATGGAAATGTTGGAAATTAAGCAAGATGGCTACCTATTCACTTTGAGTAATAACAGAGCAGCTCCTGCATTGGTAGATGAAAAGCTAGACAGGGCTTTTGGCTCCATAGATTGGTCTTATTCCTACCTAAATGCAGTGGTCTCCAATACAATCAGGAGCTCCTCAGATCACTCAACCCTGCTGTTGAACCCTGGTGAACCACAGAGAAAGAAGAAATCCCCTTTTCACTTTGACAAAAGGTGGATAGGGAAAGAAGGTTTTGAGGAAGTAGTGGCTAAAGCTTGGGAGACTCCTGTGTCAGGCACACTATTCTTTCAACTCAAAGAAAAAATCAGAAACACAAGAGTTGCAATTCTTATTTGGAGCTCCTCTTTCCAAACCCAAAGACAGAAGGAAATTTCAGATCTCACAGAGAAGTTGGAGGCTCTGAATTCAGACAAGGAAGGGAGAAATTGGGAAGATTGGGAGGATACTAAAAGAAAGCTGAATAAAGCTCACGATCAAGAGGAGGTCTTCTGGCAGCAAAAAGCCAAACACAAATGGCTGAAGGAGGGGGATGCCAACACTAGATTTTTTCATGCCCTCATACAGTAAAGAAGGAGGCAAAATGCAATAACTAGATTGATAACCAGCCAAGGAGAAGTGCTATCTAGCCAGAAGGACATGAAAAATCATATATTTGCTTTTTATGCTGATCTTTTCTCATCTGAGGGCTGTTGGGGTGGGGAATCTTTGCTCCACCTAATTCCTAACAATATCATTCAAAACATGAATACAGCCCTTCTTAAACCAGTGGACGAGGAAGAAGTTAAGCTTTCTTTGTTCAGTCTCAACCCAGACAAAAGACCTGGTGAAGATGGGATGACTACAGGTTTTTACCAACACTTTTGGAGCCTGATTAAATCAGACCTTATGAAGGTTGTTCTTAGTTTTTTCCACTCAGGTACTCTCCTCAAATACTGGAACCACACAATATTATCTTTGATTCCTAAGTGTTCCAATCCTGATAATTTGAGTCAATTCAGGCCCATAAGCCTTTGTAGTGTTGTGTACAAACTCATCTAAAAAATTCTGGCACTAAGGCTTAAGGACTGCTTAAAACACTGTATAAGTGATCACCAGGAAGCCTTTTTAGAGGGCAGAATGCTTACTGATAATGTGATTATTGTAACGCCCCACTTTTATTTGCCAAAATTCAGAATAATTATTTTTTTTTAAATTTATTTCAAAACACATGGTGGCGCTACTCATTTTCAAACATTTTCCAACATTATCATAAATCATACTCCCGTACTGGTTCAATCATCATGTCAACACCCAACCAGGTTCATAAATAACAGTATCTCCCAACACTGGGTTTCTCAAATCAATAATACCAGGGAGTACGCTCCCTATCAAAATCCGGTACTCAGTCATAATTCATAAATGCATAAACTATACTAAGCAATTTAACAGTGGAAATAAATCATGAGATGACCACCACTCGCCTCCCTCCGTCGTGCTCGCCATTACTGACCTGCATCCATGAAGAGCAGGTGGGGATGAGCACAAAAGGAATCCGTAGTGCTCACCACTATGCACGTAAATAACAACATAATATAACAAGGGTATGGTCACAGCGTGATTATAAATCAATTCAACTTGTCACATCTCCAATCAATACACCAATAATCTCACTCATGTGCACATCTATCATTAGCCACTGAAGGACATACAACTCTCAACAATGGGAGTGCATACCAAAGGACATACAGCTCTCAACGGTATGGCCTTTCATTAGGACTTAAGGAGATTGCCTCACAAGACACCGTCGAAGGACATACAGCTCACATCGATGGGGACAACCGTTCGAAGGACATACAACTCACATCGAAGGTTACACCAATTCACAAGCATGCATTGATCATACCAACCCAACAACAATTAAATTATTTACGGCATAGCAAATTTTATAAGTAAAACCCACCTGTAAATCGCGGTAGAATATTGCACACAAAATCAAGTACGTAGGTCGAGGTTTGACTCCTCAAACACCTACAATTATGCGAGATAATATATCAATAATCTATCTGACTACCCACACTTAATCGAAATTAAGGTTTAAGGGTTTTAATCGGATTTTTCGTGGACTTGGAACTCTCTCATTTGAAAAATAGGATTCGGAGAAACAGAATCAGAGTCTCGGGACTTAAAATAATTTTCACAAATTTTTCTCAGTTCATAAATATTTTTAAAATTGAAATTGATGCGAAAAACGGGATCCGGAACAAAAAATTGGTCAAAAACCGCATAGAAAACAACTTTTAAAGTTGTTGGGCCAAAAGAAATAAAATTGGGTTGCAAATGGGTAAGACTGGGCCCACACTCTTGCATAGAAATTGGCCAGGCGCTGCATTTGGGCTGCTGCAACACGGGCCAGGCGCGACCTGGGCGGGCTGAAGCTACTGGTGGCATTCGGGCTGAGCGCGGGCCTGGAATGGGCTTCACGGGCCGGAGCAGCTAACAGATGGCGGGCTGCGTGCGGGCTGACTTCGGGCCATACGGCCCGCGCGCTGGAGCTGGGAGTTATTCATAAAAAAAAAAAGAATGGCTACACAAGGGGAGGGCTCGAACCCTGGACCTCAAACATGAAGGTGAGTGCGTGCACCACTGCACCAAATGCCTTGATGTGCATTTGAAAGAAGTCTTTTTTATATTGTACTAAATGAAAACCTGCTACTGAACAGACACAGAGACAGAAAACTATCGAACA